ATTACAAAAACGAGAGAGAAACAAGGTTTCTATTTTCATGAACCTAGAACTCTAGAGGAGGAAGACAGAAAAGCAAGAAAACTAAACAAGATAATATGATATATGTAATAATAAAATATGATAGTATAAATTGAGATAAGATAGGTATTTGGAGGAAATAAAAGAGGAGTACTCATTAAATGAAAAGCCTAAAATAACAGTGGTAAAAAGATAAAGGTTTATGTCTATCTCAGGTAAACATAAACAGTCCTAGGCTAAGATAGTGGCTTGATAACCATCAGAGATCCCAGACTCCTGACAGGTTGCTTTGCCAACTGTTACCTGTGATTTCCACCCTGACTTGTAAGACAGCTGTTTCACCTTGAGCCCTCTCACCCACATGCTAGCCAGGAAGACCAGCAAAGAGAAAGAGAGAACATACTTCCTCTCTTTAAGAAAATTTCCCAGGGCCAGCCCTGTGGCTTAGTAGTTAAGTTTGGCACGCTCTGCTTTAGTGGCCTAGGTTTGGTTCCCAGGTGTGGACCTACACCACTTGTCAGCAGCCATGCTGTGATGGCAACCCACATACAAACTAGAAGAAGTGTGGCACAGATGTTAGCTCAGGGTGAAACTTCCTCAACAACAACAAGAAAAGAAAACTTCCCAGAAGATCTATCAACCTACTTCTCTTCATATCCCATTGGCCAAAGCTTAGTCACATGACCACACTTAGTTGCAAGAGAGGCTGGGAAATGTAGTTGTTTTTTACTGGTTGGACAAATGTCCAGCTAACATTTGAGGTTTTATTACTGAGCAAAATGAAAAGAACAGATACCGAGGGCAAGCAGCAGTGTCTGCCATCGTTCTGTCCTTCTCAAAGGGTACAATCTAAAGTCCCATGCAGCTATGCCATCCTGTTCAAAGCCCAGGATCTTCCTCAGGACCAAGTACAGCTCTCGTGTTCAAGTCATCTTCCCCCCTTAACACATCCAATATACAATAGTAGGATGGGAAGATGATAATGATAATTTTTTTTTTAAATCTCCAATTCAAATATGAGAGGATCAGAAACACAGCATAAAATTGTCCATAGAAATTACAGAAATAGTATTGCAGGATTATCCTACTTAATTTCAATAATCCATCCCTGAAAACCTGATGGTCCACAAGAAAATGCTAACTGGGAGCCTATTTTTAAATGGGAAAAAAAATATGTTATACATCGACCCCAAAATTCCTAAAATGTATTTAAAAAAAAGTAAAATGCCAAGTATAAGTAACAAACTCTCCTGTTAGGATGCACAATATTTAAAGAACAGCACTAAAATCACTAAACAATTAACATAGTTGCTATCAGTTGCTTTTGAATGTAATAGTTCGTGTAGTTTGCATGCATAATGATAAACATGTTTACCATGTGGCACAGCAAATACATACCAATAACTAAGGAAATTTTAAAATTATAATTAAAAGTAGGCAATTTCTTTTAATTAACTGTTAAATGGAGACATGAAACTTAAAGATATTTGAGAAGGGAAGAACACAGCTATTGTTATCACAGGCGCCAAAGAGGACAGTGCTGATGAGTCAGATGACAAAGAAGTAATTTCAGGCAAACTCTCAGGTTCAAATGAATGGAAAGGGTATTCTCTATCCTTGCTGGTGATGCTATAGAGACTCTGGAACAGGAAGGCATTGATAAATTCTCAGGGAGGATGATCTGTGCTTTAGGATGAAAAAAAGCAAAATGAAGCAGTTTGCAGAAAAACAGTAGTTTACATGTATAAATTCCTTTATGTGGTATTCTAAAATATAGCAGGCTGTTTTTAAAAGAAAGTCTTCTCATCAAGCTGCCATGAAGTTTCAGGGTAATGTTACACATTGTATCTGCATGGGCCATTTATTCTTTTAGGCTGTCTATGACCAGTAGCTTGACTGGATACTCTCTTGGGTCTTTATTGTTGCTTCTTTTCCTTAAAAAAAGACTTTAGGGCTCATCAACAAGGTGAAGCAAAGAGTTTCTTCAAAGAAGATACATAGTGAATGAAGGAAATTAATCCGGCAATTTGAATTCAAAGGCTTTGACGACATGCCAAGCTGAAAATTGTTGCTCTTGCAAGATTCTGGCTTTGAAGATGTCGATGAAAAAGAATGGAAGAGCTCTTAAGATCTCATGCGAGGATTTAACCGCCCTAAATTGTTCAGCTTTACATGCAGTCATTGTAGAAAAGCGTATCAGGCAGAAGCAAAATGACAAAGCATGGCTCAAACTAAGTAAGACACTGTGGTCCCTCTTAATTCCACCAACATTCAGATACACGTTCTCTTTGTTGATACCAGGCAAGCTTTTGAAAATACCTACATGTGCTTTTGATTTTCTACCAATTCTGGTTGCAGCATAACCTCACATTTTTCTTCACATCGTTTTATTTAAAATACTATATTCAGTTTTTAAGATGTAAATATAAATTTTTGCCATAGAAACATTGAAAGCTGTTATATTGAGAAATATTTAAGCTCTTTCAGTCCAAGGAGGTAGTACTTCTGCCAATATAATTCTCTTTAAAATTTGAGGGATTCTTATATATCAAATTATAACCACTCCATTAAAAAAAAAAAAAAAAGAAGAAGCTACACCCACGAATATCTTTGAGACAGACACTTTCCATTGTGAGCTGAGAGTCAGGAAGCTGTTGGAAAATGCCCTTAGAATATTTAGAAGCTCTTTTATCAAGCTGAGAAGGTCCAGGGAGAATAGTCTTAAATATTTCTAGTCTTAAAAAAGAATCTTACAGCTGCACCTGAATTTAACCTTTGCCTTAGAGCAATTCCTTACGTTCAGAATCTTTTACCATCTGGAGAGGCTGGAAATGAAAAACAGCTTTATTTTTTAACCCAAAGATCCTAGGTTCTTTATATTTCCTCTAAATTCTGCTTAAAAATTGAATATTCTTTTTTTTTTTTTCGCATCTCTATGTATTATTACACATAATTTTTTAAAAATCAATTGGTACTTTCAACATTCTGCCTGGAAATTTCCTTAACCAAATGTATCAGTTTGTTAGAGATATTTTCTGTTTTCCACAATTTATCAGGCAATAGCGTTGCCAAACTTCCCTCCGCTACATAACGGGGATCTCTGTTGCTCCAGCCTCTGTTAAAAATTTCCTCACTGTCCTTCAAGGCTTTAAGAATTCTACAAAATGCTCTCAAATAACCTTATGAAATATCCGGGCACACTATCTGTAGAATTCCCAGTGTTTATGTTAGTTTGATGTTATCAGTACTTGGAGACTATGGCTGAGGACACCATCCTCCCCCACTTCGAACTCCTACCACTCCCACCACAGAATTTGAAAGTGAAAGATTTATGATTGTTCTCTGAGAGGGAAAATATGAAAATCCACATATTATTAGATAGGAGTAGATATATAAAAGAAACGCCTCAGAGGTGAACCACATCTGTCTAAAAAGTTAGACAATGTAATAACATGCCTAAAAAGAAAAGTTGATAGGCTTGAGAGCAAAAAAAGAGAGAACCACTGAGGCAATTCAGCCGTATGTCTAGGGGAGTGGACTCTGCAGTGCAGCAAGCTCGCATGTTCTGGACCCTCTGACAAAACTGTCTCTACTAAGAAATGGATTCATGAGCTCTGTTGGAAGGATGTCATTAAACATTTACTTTATCTAACTAATGCCCTTTTTCTGAGAACAGGGGTACCAAACAAACTTTTATTATGGCTTGACTCCCATGCAAGTCTGTCCCAGTGAGAGAATGGGCTTGATCATGGTAAAACAGATATCCTAGTTTGTATATGAGGCCTTTTTTTCTTCGTCACTTAACAAATTGGCGTTTTGATTTATGTACTCATTTATGAGCTGGTTTTGTGTTGCCTCACCTATGAGAGACAGACACTCCCTTGGTGTCCTGTCAAAACCAGATTTCTGACCTTGGCAGTTTGTAGGTAATGAATCCCGTGTTACCCAAGAAAGCTTAGGCTATGCTGAGATAGCAAATATTCCCCTAGATCTCGGGGGCTTAGTTTTGTGCTCACATGAAGTCCAAAGCAGGTTGGCCAGCTCTTCAGGGCAACTTTCCTCCAAGTTGTGATTCAAGGTTGAAAGTTCCTCCATCTTTATTGGGCCTTCAATGGTCGCATTTTGTATATATATATATATTTTTTTTTTTTTTGCTTGTTTGATTTATGTGCATAATTTTTGGTGGTTGTTCACAGTAACGTACAAAAAATGTAAGTGTACAGCTTAATAAATTTTTCCATTTGTCTTCATTCCTGAGACTATCCAGAAAGAGTTTTTGCATCTTGCCAGAAGGCTTTCATGTGCCCCTTTCCAGTTAATACACTTCCCAGTTAATATCAGAGGTAACCACTATTCTGATTCCTATCACCATAGCTTCATTTTGCCTTTTCCTCAAATTTACATTAATGGAAGCATACACTAATAGTTTTTGGTGTCTGGCTTCTTTCACACAAGAGTTTGTGCATGTTAGTGTGGGCAGTTGTAGTTCATTCATTTTTATCACTGTGTAATATTCTATTGTATGAATACAGTGAAATTTTCCCATTCCAGGACATTTGAGTTGTAAGTTTTGTGCTATCATAACTAAAACTACTCTGAACATTCTTTTATTTGGCTTTCTGTAAGCATACATTTTTGTTTCTCTTGGGCATATCCCTAGGAATGGAGCTGCTAGGTCATGGGGCAGGCATATATTTAAGTTTAGTAGATACCAATTGTTTTTATTTTATTTATTTTTATTTATTTATTTTTGGCTGAGGAAGATTCTCCCTGAGCTAACATCTGTGCCACATTTCTATTTTGTATGTAAGTCACAGCCACAGCATGGCTGCTGATGAGTGGTGTAGGGCCACACCCAGGAACCAAACCTGGGCCACCGAAGCAGAGCACACCAAACGTAACCCTAGGTCATGAGGCCGGCCCCTAATTGTTTTTCTTTTGAAGGGCCAGGACTCAAAGTGGTTTACACTACTTCTGCTTACCTTCCGTCTCCAGAATCTAGTTACATGGCCTCAGCCTAACTTCAAGGGAGGATGGGAAGTGTAGTCTTTCTGTGGGACCAGAAAAGGAAGATGAGATGAGATTTAAGCATCTACCACTGTCTCTGCCACAAAACACCGACCCCAGGGTCAGGCCACTGGGGAGACAACTGGCTAATCTTCTCAGTTGATTGTCTTTCACCCTTGTGGACTGCATGACCCTCCTTTTTCAAATGTATATGTGTGCAACTGTACAGCTTGTTTTGAATGAACTAATGCAAGCTGATCATCATCACTTGCTGCGATGGACTGAATGTTTGTGTCTCCCCAAAATTCAGAATTGAAATCCTATCTCCCAATGTGATAGTATTATTCGGTGGGGCCTCTGGGGGTGATTAGATCATGAGGTGGAGCCCCCATGAAAGGGATTACTGCTCTTTATGAAAGAGACTCGAAAGAGCACTCTTGTCCCTTCCACCTTGTGAGAACACAGCCAGGGGCGCTGGCCGTGACCCAGGACGGAGATCCTCACCTCACATGGAATCAGCAGGTGCCTTCATCTTGGACTTCCCAGCCTCCAGAACTGTGGGAAATAAACGTATGTTATTTAAGCCACCCAGTCTATAGCAGCCCAAACAGAATAAGACATTTACATTTAAATTTGTAATAAAACTCCCTCTCATTGTAAGCTCCTTGAAAGCCGGATCTACTTCTGATTCGTCTTTGTTATTTTCTGTGCCACATAGCACAGTGCCTTGCACATAGAACACGTTTGATCAAACATTGAATGAATAAATAAAGGGAAGTCTTGGTGGGAGAGAAATTTTAAAGCACTATGTCTTCTTAAAAAAGAAAGCAAGAGGGGCTGGCCCCGTGGCCGAGTGGTTAAGTTTGCGTGCTCCGCTGCAGGCGGCCCAGTGTTTCGTTGGTTCGAATCCTGGGCGCGGACATGGCACTGCTCATCAAACCACGCTGAGGCAGCCTCCCACATGCCACAACTAGAAGGACCCACAACGAAGAATATACAACTATGTACTGGGGGGCTTTGGGGACAAAAAGGAAAAACAATAAAACCTTTAAAAGAAAGAAAGCAAGAGGGGCCGGCCTGGTGGTGCAGCAGTTAAGTTTGCACATTCCACTTCTCAGCAGCCCGGGGTTTGCCAGTTTGGATGCCGGGTGCAGACATGGCACCGCTCGGCACACCATGCTGAGGTAGGCATCCCACATATAAAGTAGAGGAAGATGCGCATGGATGTTAGCTCAGGGCCAGGCTTCCTCAGCAAAAAGAGGAGGACTGGCAGTAGTTAGCTCAGGGCTAATCTTCCTCAAAAAACAAAAAAACAAGAAAAAGAAAGCAAGACAAAAATATCAATAACATTATTTCTTATTTTTTTGCTTGTTCATTTTTGGTTTACTTCCTTAACTCCCTACTACACTCCCAGTTCCTTGGAGGCAGAATCTATGCCCGCTTTTTCATCTTTATATTTTCCCTCAGCACCTAGAATACTAGTGTGAAACTGCCATATTTTGAGGGAACAACTGACTCTCATATAGAATTTTGGTTTATCACCTCTGTCTATAGTTTCTAGAAATGGCCTTTTACACTTTTTTAATGTTGGGGCAATATTAGCCCGACCTCAAGCTTGTGGTCCTCTCAAATGATCAATGAGCACGCAAAACTATCCATAAGCTCCATAATTCTGCAATATCTACAAGTTATTACAATTCCATGGTATGTAATTTACTTGAGCCTGGACACTTAAATTCATAGAAAATAGCTAAATTCTTTTTGTCTTCTCACCTACCTTGGGCTCTAATTATCCTTAATTTTATTCTTTCTCATAAATGATAATTATTTTTGATAGAAAATAAAAAAGCAAAAGAGGAGTTAATCACTTTGTGTTCTGCTTGGCATCCATTTAGATTACGTTATTTGCCCCTAAGCATAGGGCCTACTCCTCCCGTCTGGGGGCAAACATAGTGACAAAGTTCCATTTGCTGCCCATAAGGAGACTCAATCAATTGCTCACTCTGTAATTTAGCTATATCCTCAGAGTTCTTCTTGCTATTTGCGCCTGTGCTTCCTTGATGAGGTGCCTCTTTTTCTAACTTTTCACAGTCCTTTGAAAATCTATGCATGACATGTAGCACCAGCATTTTATTTTTCTTTGTGAAGGTTCTACTGCTGTTTTTAAGCAATATTTTTTGAAACTCTGGTACATTAAAAACTGCAGCGCTTTGAAGGCAGGGACCATCTCTTGTATTTCTTTGCATGTCAGATGTGCTCATAGTTGGTTGTCAATATAATCTTCTAAAATAAATGCAATGGTTTGTCTCTCTGCAATTGATATTACCCGTTTGAAAAGTGGAGATACATTTTTGCTTAAAGTAATTTAGAGAATTATTATATATCAAATGCATTAAGCTTTTCAAAACTGCAGTATCCTACAAAATAGATGAAGTGTCTTTAGTGCCTAACCCCATGTCTAGTACATAGGCACCCTCAAGTATTTTTTGAATCAGTAAAATACAATTTAAAATATACCTTTATAGCTAAACTTCTATAGTTAGCACTTGATAGTTATACTCTCTTTTGAAGACTCAAGTAACGGGCCATTTATGGTTTTCTTCTTTCTCTATGGTTTTCAATATTTGTTTTCCCAAAAGCTTCAGTACATATCTAAACCTGCCCAGCAACCACATTCTTATATATTACAAATTCTAAGAGCATGCAGGTACTTTTTATCAAGCATCTTATCACTTTCAATGTACAAATCAGTGCTCCATGATGGTTAGAATCAAGTCCAAAGGCAGAAATTTTCCTCATTAAGATTATCTTATGAAAGATAAAATTATCTGCACGAATTTATTTGATGGTCTGCTCTTAATAGAATAAGACCTAACTGAATAGCTGAAGAGTTCCTTCCTTACTAAATCTCTTTGGGTTAGTTTGTGATCAATTTTGAAAAAGTATTTTCCACACAGTCTGAAGGACAAAGCCATCTGTCATAAGCACTCAAAGTAGCGCTTTATTTTCTGTCTTTTTAAAAAAACAATTCACAACCAAATTCTCTTCATTTTGTGTCTATCCTCTTGTTTGAAGATTTCCTCCTTTAAAATACTGCATCTCATATACTTGTAGTCTGACTATAAATTAGCAATATTTTTAGAAGTCATTTTGGCAGGATATATGAACATTTTAAATGTACTTGTCCAGCAGCCGGCCCTGTGGCTGAGTGGTTAAGTGCTCATGCTCCGCATTATCAGCCCTAGGTTCGTCAGTTTGGATCCTGGGCACGGATCTAGCACCACTCATCAAGCCATGGTGAGGCGCCCTCCCACATAGAGATACTAGAAGAACCTACAGCTAGGATATACAATTATATAATGGGAGGCTTTGGGGAGAAAAAAAAAGAGGAAGAGTGGCAACAGATGTTAGCTCACGGCCAATCTTCATCACCAAACAATAAATAAATAAAATGAATTCACCAAACGATTCTAATCTCAGGTCTCTAGTCTACAGAAATATTCACAAAAAATTTCCCAAGCATTATTTATAAGAGCAAGAATATTAAAAATAATCTAAATGTCCATCTTAGGGACATGTGAAATAAATTTTGATATACCCATATTGTGGAACACAGACAGTAAAAAGAGTAAGGTAGATCTGCATGTACCAATATTGAAGGATGTTCATGATATTCCATTGAATGGGGAAGAAAAATCACAGACTATTTTACATAGAGTGAGATCATTGCTTAAAAAGTAAAAAGTATTTTGTGTATATGTATTTGTGTACATGTTTACATAGACATTGAAAAAGGTGTAGGAGAATACACAACAAATAAAGGGATCAAGATAGAGCTCTTTCACTTTTTATTTTATATACTACTATATTATTTAATTTTTTCCCAGTTAGTATACATTGTACTTGCTTTCCAACACTTCCTTCTGGATTAGTTTTTTTCTTGCTAGAGTTCATTTTAGGTCATGAGTACTAATTGTTCTAAATCTTTATATGTCCCAAAACAGCATTGTTTTACCCTCCCTCTACCTCAAACTAGTGATAATTGGGTTATTAATTAAATTATAGATTCAAAGTAAATTTCCCCTCAGTAATTTAAAAATATTGCTCCATTGTTTCTTGCATAGACTTTTGCTAACTAGATATCCAGTGTTATTTGATTCTTCTTCCTTTGTAGGTTATTTGTCTTTCTACTCTGGTAGTTTTTAGGGTTTTCTCTTTATTGCTGCTATTTTGTTACATGTTTCTAGCTATGTTTCTTTATTTCATTTTTTTGTGTTATTGTGCTAGAATTTAATGAACTCTTCTAATCTGAAGTATAATGTCTTTTTTCAGTGCTAGAAAATTAAAGAATCACGTTTCCTCTTTTCTTGGGAAATCTCCTGGAAATTCTATTAGACTAGAATTTTTTAGCCTGCAGTCTGTGGATAAAATTTAGGGAAGTCCATGAACTTGGATGAAAAAACAATTACATTTTTATTTTCACTAATATCTATCTGAAAGCTAATATTTTCCAGTATTTGAATGTAGCCACAAATCACAGCAGTATTGGCAGTATCCTGACATTATCACCAATAGAAATCAGATATTTTCGTATTATATTACAATTGTGGCAGATATCTCGAAAATGATAGTAAACTAGCTGTCAGATCTTGTTATTTAATTTGTTAATATATCATAAAATCTTAACATTTTGATAACTGCATTTTAATATAATTGACTTCTTTTATAATCTTAAATATTTTATTTTATGCATTTAAAAGTATTATTCTGTGGGGCTGGCCTGGTGGTGCAGCGGTTAAGTGCACACATTCCACTTCGGTGGCCTGGAGTTCACCAGTTCAGATCCCAGGTGCAGATATGGCACTGCTTGGCCATATGCATGCAAGCCATGCTGTGTAGACATCCCACGTATAAAGTAGAGGAAGATGGGCACAGATGTTAGCTCAGGGCCAGTCTTCCTCAGCAAAAAGAGGAGGATTGGCAGCAGTTAGCTCAGGGCTAATCTTCCTCAAAAAAAAAAGAAGTATTATTCTGAGAAGGTGCTATGGTCTGAATGTTTGTGTCCCCTCAAAATCCCTATGATGAAATTCTAACACCCACTGTGATGGTATTAGGAGGTGGGGGCCTTTGGGAGGTGCTTTGCTCATGAGAGTGGAGCCCTCATGAATGGGATTAGTGCCCTTATAACAGAGGCCCCAAAGAGCTCTCTTGCCCCTTCTGCCGTGTGAGGACACAGTCAGAGCGTACAGGTTATGAACCAGTTAGAGAGCTGACACCAGAACACGCCCATGCTGACATCTTGATCTTGGACTTCTGAGCCTCTAGAACTATGAGAAATAAACTGTTATAAACTACTCAGTCTGTGGTGTTTTGTTTTAGCAGCCAGATCAGACTTAAGACAAGAGATGCATAGGCTTTACTAAGCTGCGAAGAGATCTATGGCACGAAACATTTTAAAAACACCTGCATGAGACTGATGACAAAATCTCGGTAACCTCAGTGCCTCTTAGTGTGACTTTCGGTTTCAATCTTTCTATCTCTTAATCTCTTCCGTTAGATTAGAGAGAACCAGAAGGCCCCCAGTCAAAGCAGCACATGACCAAGAACAGCAGTTTTGAGGTGGCGGGAGCATCACCTCACTGCTCTGGTTTTTCATTTGATCACAGCTTCTGAGCCCAAGAAAGCCCCTTCCCTGTTTTTGAATATTTATTAATCTTATGTATATATATATTTTTTATCAATCCTGCAATTTTGAAGAGGGAGCGAGAAAGGATTGGTATGCACACCGTCCATTCTGTCTGCCATCTTAAAGCTGGGATGCATGTATTTATTTCACATTTAGAAAAAGAAGGAAAGATGCGGTGGTACATCCTTTCCCCTTCTATCAATTTTTTTCAATATATAATATTGTAAAAATATACCTTTACAAGGCTATTTTACAAGTGAGAAAACTGAGGGTGGTACAGGGTAATGATTGATTCAAAGTCACGTAACTAGTTAATAAGAGGGCTTGGACTGGAACTCGGGTCATCCGGCTTCTTTTCTAGTGCTTGTTCCTTGGAGCTCTCTGAGGATATATCTCTGTCCTTTCCAGGAGCTAATCATGCTGATGTTACAAACCATAGTTAAGAAAAATCATTGCGTTGTTATTGTACATGTGGTTCTCTCTGCCTAAGATATTTTCAATCAGTTGGTCAACAAATATTTTAGAACATTTGATGTATGCCAAGAGCTGAGCTGGGAGCCAGGCAGACAACAAGGAACAAGACTCAGTCCTAACCCAGTCCTTACAGTCAGTCTAGTAAGAAGAATAGGCAACTTCTTTGAATTCCTCTCCCCTTCTTTTGGGCCTTCTACTCACCTTTAAGTCCGACTCAAATGTTTCTTCTCTGTGAAGCTTTCTGGGTAGAGTTAGTTGTTCCTCTCTGTGCTTCCCCAACAGAAGGTTCACGCATCTGTTATCAATGGAGAACAGGCTTTTTATTTTAATATTTTAGTTAACAGTGTTTCCTGCCACCCCACTTACCTCTATCCTGCAACCACGTGGGACAGAACTCGGGGGCAGGTTTGCTCATTCATCTTGTAGCAACCGCAGGACTTAGCACAGTGCCTGGCACGTAGGAGGAATGAATGGAACTGAAGTCAAGAGAAAAGAGTGGAAGCTTCTCTATGAACTTGCACTTGTTTTTTAAATTAAGAATGGAATTCCCCATTGATGATTTTTAAGTTTCTGATTGGTAAAAATCCATTTTTATTATTTGGGCTAGTGGCCAATATAAATGGAAATAGATATGAGCACTCGCCAGCTGTTGTTAATTATAAATTCTTAAAGTCTATTCAGAAACGTATTGAGAAAATCTACCTTTTGCTTCAATTTATCTGAGTCAGTGATCTACACAAACTAAACCCACTAAAATCCACACCTCCAAATTCATTTAATTCTGCATGACCTATGACTACAGAAATTGAATCCCTAAAGAATCTCAATTTCACTATTTGGCTAACTCTAATTCTTTAACCTTTATAAAATTCTTTTTGAATGACTCTTGACAAGCCAGGTATCTAAGGTTCAAGAAAAAGAAACCAAAATTAGTTCCATATTTATGTGGCAGGGAAAGGGCTGTGTCCCATGGAGGGAGGAAACAGTTCCTTCTACCCTCACCTTAGAACTGGACTCCCTTTTGAGAGTCAGACCCTTGGGAAAAATAGAGACCTCTGGGGATAGACCGGCACACAGTACTTGTAACTAGAGCCCTGAAAAAAACGGACCTGAGATTTTTGAAGGCTGGAGTCGGGAGAGTAGCTTGAATGTTGTCATTGCAGACCTTTGAGTATTTTTTCAAGAGGTGGAAACTTGCATTCATCTTGAGGCAGATTCATCCTTGCTTTGGGGGAAATGATCTAAATGGATGAGGTTAGATACACTATATGGAACCACACCCTTTTCTGGAATGGAAGTTTGACACCTGCAACTCCAGATGTCTAAACTTTCCTGCATAATAATATTAAAAGTTGCTTTTATTATAGGCAGAGCTACCTCTCTGTAGTTTGCCACGCCTTTGGAGAAATGTTTCCTTCAAGGTGTGAGCGTAGACGCCCCCAGCCAGCATAGGTATTGCTTGTTATGGTAGAGACGCTTGTGCTTCCTGTTTAAAGAGCTTCTCATAGGAGATTGGGAGTCAAGACTTGAGGACTAGAGGGAAGCTACAGTTTTGGTTTTTCACTTCATATGAATAAAAGGCCATAAAAAGAAAGTGGACTGGGCTAAGCTTAGTACAAAAAGACTGGCCTGCTATTATCTCACATGTGGTAATACTCAAACACAGACTTGGGGAATGTACTCCACTGGATATTTTGCTTTCATGTGATGATCTCACAGAGGCCTTAGGAACGGACCTGACCTCACGAGTCGGGGAGGGCTGGAGTTTCCTCAGAGGAAGTGGACAGGAAATGAGGATCAGGGAGGCAGGCCTGCAACTAGAGAGACTACAGGGAGAAATGTGTTCTTCTCCTGGGGCTTCTGGAGATTGGGGCCTGGATTTTCTGTAGGGCGAACTCACTAGAGGTCACCCCCAAGGGGAGAAGATAAGCAGACTCTGCCAGATAGCTCAAGCCTGGGAACTAGGCAGGAAGGCACCTCCACAGCCGTAAGACAGTCTGTGCTTTGACTTGTGGACTCCAAGAGTATTCAGAATTTGTAGCCATATTTAACCTTGTCAGTTCCTTTCTCTTATCTTTAATCATTCTGCAAAATTTGGCTGAATGTTACAGCTTAGTCCCTGTCATGATGTGGGAAATTAAAGGAAAGGTCTGTTGTCCACCTTTGGGAACATTTAATAAAGGGAAGGAAAGCCTTCCCTTGAGGCCAGCATAGCTGTGGTGGCTGCAATTGCAGAGTTGCAGGAGTTGAGAGGCGGCAGTGGGGGAGCTGTGATGAGCAATCTGGAACCACAGAGGTGGCTGGGGCAGTGTGGATTTGTGGAACACGTGAGCAACTGGGAAATGCAAAGTCCTACACGTGGAGAGGAGCCTCATAAAAGATGAGACTTGCTGTCATCAGGTAAGATGAAAGTTTGAGCCACAGTAATTTAGACATTACAAGGTAAACCTGACCTCAGTTTTAATCATAGTCTGGTGAGGTCTGGGAGACTGGGTATATGCATCTGGAATGCACTATAAAATGTAGTCTTAGTAGCTTAGTAACCTGCTTGACATAGGTTTGCACAATACAAGAGCAGGCCTAAAATGGGTTCCCAACCGAACTTGTGGAAATCATATTGATCACATTCTGTTTATCCATTCGTTAGTAATCGTGTACTGGATCCCAGCATGTGCCAAGCAGTGTGGTAGAAATCAAAGCAGTTCCACTCAATTGTAGCTGGTATAAATTGCTCCTCAATGCTCAAGGCAGAATTATGACCGCATATTCAATTCTCCTAATTGAAGAAAAAGTGACTTGAACCCCGTCATGCCAGATTAGTATAGAATCTGGTGTCACTTTCTTAGGGCCCCTTTCCCTTTTTCTAGATCTTCTGAGAACCCTGGAGGGTATACACTATCCACTTAGAAGGTTCATTTACTTCAAGCTAAGATAAGCTCGGGTTTCCAAGCGTCCACGCTAGTCCTTGATACTTCCACTGTTGGCCAGGTGCCGTCAAGTGCTGCTGCTGGCCCAGTTCACTCCACAGGCCAGCATAGTACCTTGATGGAGGATGACTTCATAAGAGACTCCATTCTCTCGATGCCATGATCAGCAGAGAATGGCCCTCGCTGGAACTCCCAGTCTGTGGCATTTAGTGCTCAGACCTTTCCATCACACTCAACCGTTCTCCTTCAAGCCCCACCATCAATCTTACAACACTTCACTCAGACTGGCTCAGGTGTCAGCCCTTCACAGACGCAAAACCACTGCCATTTCTGTCCCAGGGGCCTCACCAGAGGCCAGGTCACTTTCCTTTTCAACCATAAAAATACAAAAGTGCTATTTTCATTCCTCTCCTAGACAAAGACCCTTTCATGACCTCAGCTAAAGTGACTACGTAGGTGGTCTCCAGGGCCACCACTCTCCTGGCAGCAGTTTTCTGTTGACCCTAGATACCAAAGGTCTTTCTTTGGCAAGAGGATTTAGAAAGCTTGCTCTTGCCACCTAGTCTTCCTTGGCGCACAAATATCACTGACTATTTAGGTACTAAACTGCCATACGGTGCATGCCGTGGACAAAATGTTCAGCAAACTTCATGATGAATTTTAATGTTTCCCAAGCTTCTCTTATCCTAAGAGCTACTTATTGTAAATTAAAATATCCAGGCTTTACTTCTGGAGATTCTAATCCAGTGGGCTTCAGGTTGGACCTAGGAATCTATATTCTTCCAAGCACTCTCATGTGACGAAGTTCATGTGAGGAGGGAAAACCAAAGCTAATCAATAAGGATCTATTGCATTGTTTAACCTGGTGCTTTCCAATACTGGACATTGGGATCACCTGGGAAACTTTTGATCCAACAGAACTGCCTTGGACCTATCTGAGAATATTTTTTTTTGACTTTTTATTTGAAAATAATCTCAAACTTACGGAAAAGTTACAAGAAGAGTACAAAAAAATTTTTTTCTGAACTATTTAAGTGTTCGTTGTTGACATAGTGCCCTAGCACTCACAAATATTTTAGTACTTCCTACGAACAAGGACATTCTCCTATATAACCAAAGAAAACCCACCAAAATCAGGAAAATTAACTTCATAAGTCAATACCTTCTTCTCCTCAGACCCCATTCAAGTTTCGTGAACTGTTCCCAAAACATTCTTTAAAGTAAAAGGAGCGTCTAGAACCGTGTGTTGTATTTATATGATGTCTCTTTAGTTTCCTTACTCTGAAAATAGTTCCTCAGTCTTCCTTGCTTTTCATAACCTTGACATTTTAAACTTACAGGTCATTTATTTTGTAGAATGACCCTCAATGTGGTTGTCTGAAATTTTCTGATGATTAGACTCCGGTTATGCATCTCTGAAAGGAATATCATAGAAATGACGCCATGTTCTTCTCATCGCATCCTATCAGGTGACACACAATTCTGGTTTGTCTCATTACCGGTTATGGATCTTTGATCGCTTGATTAAGATGGTATCTGGTGGGCTTCTCCACTATAAAATCACTCTTTTTCTCTTTGTAATTAATAAGTTTTTTAATGGAAGAAAAGCTTAAGGCTATGTAAATATCTCGTTCCTTATCAAACTTTTGATTAATTTATTTATATCATTATATAAATAATATATATTTATATATAATATGTATAGATACACGTAAATATATTTATATTATATCAGTATGTACTCATGGATTCCTATTTTATTCAATGGGTTATAACCTACCACTATCATTACTTATTTTGATGCTCAAATTGTCCCAAATACAGCCAGTGGAAGCTCCTTCAAGCTGGTTCTGTGCATTTAGACATATGCCCATTATTATTTGAGCAACCTTGTTTTTTGGGGGCACAAAATGTCCAAGTTCATTCTTTACTTTCACTGTACGAGCACTGCAATTAGCCAACTTTCCAGAGAACTCTGATTCTTTTTAGTGAAGAATGGCATATAGACAGCAAGATGCAAGGTATGCTCCTTGCTACTGGGGTGTTGCTGCTCTCAAGCCCTTCAAGTGAACAGAGTTAAGGAACAAACATATATATAAACACACACACACATACATATTTACATCTATATTTATTTCTGTACCTATTTCTTACTGAAAACCATGAGAGCCTCTAATTCTAATCTAACAACATATAATTCATTCTAGTTTTCTCCTGTTCCATATTTGTAACTCTCTGACAGTAAGAGACCTCCTCAGAATTGATAAATTTATTATCAACAAATTTACTTATTTACTAATCTCTTCTCACCCTGGCCCCCCAACACCAATGCAGATGCTCTCATCCCTCTGGGGTTCTAACACTCAAT